TTCCCCGTTTTTTTCATTTTTAAGCAGTTTTTTATCAGATTTTAATCCGGAAATTTGTTAACAAAATCCGTGATTTTCCGGAACTAAAAAACTGGATTTTTTCCTGATTTTTGTTTTTTATTTTTTTTTACAGGATATATACTGATACTTTTAGCTTTAAACTTGAAGCAATCTTGTCACAAAAAGATGATAACAACAAAAAATATGTAGTTGCTTATACCAGTCAAAGAATAGATCAATGTGAAGTTAATTATTATGCAACTAAATTAGAATGCTTAACAGTGAAATGGATAGTAGAACATTTTAGACTATACCTTCAATTTAATATTCCATTTACTATAATTACTGATAATAGTACTTTAAAAAGCTTATTCAATACTCCAAATTTATCTGGTAGACTATATAATGTAGAATATTACAAAGAATACTTACATTCAAATGTTGATTCACTCTCATATTACTTCCAGAAAAAATCAACCTAGATCAATAACAACTCAATTAATCAACAAATCAATGCTAAAATATAACCTAAACAACTAATTTTGAATAACCCATACTTATTATAATGAACTTAATTGAATATCATTAACTTATTAATTATTTAGATACATTACAGTTACCAGAAAATTTATCAATAAAAGAACAAAAAAAATTAAAAAACAAACCAATTCATTATCTTATCAAAAATAAAATACTTTATAGAAGAAATCAAAAAAATCTAGACACATCACTCAAAATAATTAGATCTATAGAAGTAGAAGAAATATTAGTTAATAAATATTCTATTGCAATATCTGAACATTTTGAAATAAAAGCAACTTATAATTGAATTTTTTAAAATTATTATTGGTCTAAAATGCACCAAGATATTGAAAATTATATTAAAACTTGTAATGTTTGTCAATGAAAAAGCAAAATAAAAAAGAATAATTCATTACATTTAATTGAAACCAAATCACCATTTGAGAAAATTGGAATTGACTTAATTGAACTGTTACCACTCATCAAGAATAATAATAGATATATAGTAGTTACTATTGATTATGGAATCAAATAAGCAGAAGCAAGAGCAATACCAGATGCCGCCAACACAACTATAGTATTATTTTTATATGAAGATATTATTTGTCAACATGGTTTTCTAAAAGAAATTATTTTAGATTGAGATACTATATTTGCAAATGAAATAATTAAAATATTATACCAAAATTATCAAATCAAATATCATCTCTCAATACCATATCATCCACAAACAAATGAACTTGTAGAAAGACTTAATAGAACACTATGTGAATTCATCATCAAATTTATTCAATTATATCATAATGAATGGGATTTTTACTTACTATTAATATTATTTGCATATAGAACCATGCAACAAAGTGCAACAAAGTTCACATCATTTTATCTCACTTATGAAAGACAAGCTAAAACACCAATTGATTTCAAATTTCAACTATTAGAAGATAGACAAGAAACAACAACAAATGAAATAATCAAAAAAGCTTGCATTATAGTAAATAAATTAGAAATTGATAAAACATTAGCCAAACAAAATGTTCAAAAATCTCAACAAGAACAAAAAGAATCTTATCAATAAGATAAATATTCAGAATAGTTCTTTATCAGTGATAAAGTCTTAATGAAAAGGATCATGAAAAATTTTTGCAAAAATAGAAAGATCCATATTACATTCATAAACATTTAACAAAGATGCATATAAACTTAGAATCATAAATGAAAAACTTCTTAAGAATCCATATAATGGTGACCACCTAAAATTATACAAAGAAAACAACAAATTAGAATCAATAATTGTGATTCAAAATTAATCTTATCTGACCGAGAAGTTAATAAACTAAGCTAATAGAATTGATTAAATCTTATGTCACCATTTGGAACAAGGATTACAACTCATAACACAACTCACAACACAATTCACAAACAACAAATAATTAATTTTCAACAAAAACAACAATATCTAAAATTATCTCAGTTCAAGAATATTATCATCTTAAGTCTTATCATAAAAAAAGACTTATAGAGAACAAGAAACTCAATTATCACATATTTGCTTCACCAAATACTGGAAAATTTTACCTTACCTTAAATATACGTGTAATAATTGTAATGAAGTAAAAAAAATTATTACTTTTAAAAATGATATGAAAGATATTATTTGTATCACATTTATATTATTATTTACAAATAATATGTAGATTATTTATTTAGGTTACACTAGATAATCTATATTTATACTAGATCACAAGATAAGTGATTAAACGAGTGATCAAACGAGCAAACAAGCAAATAATTTAAAAAAATCATTAGCTTGCGAAGTAAAAGATAGATAAAAATAAAATATGCATTAAATGATTGTGATTATTTTAATGAATAAAATCCACTTTCTTTTGGTTTCCAATAATTCTTTAATGACGAGATATTTGAATCTCGCCATTTTTTTTTCACATTTCATTTCTTTAGTGAGTTATTGTAGGTTCGAATTTTTGAACCAGACTTTTGGTTAGATTCGAGTCCGGTTCAAGCTCGAACTGAACCAGACTCGAACCGAACCAGACTTTTTTTCAGAACTCTACATTAGACAAATTAACTACTTCAAATTTGAGAAGATTTAACATTTCAAGCAATCTAAATTTGTCATAAAAATATTGAAGAATTTGCTGCTTCAAACTTGATAAGAAAGAAATAACTTTCAGTATTTTGAGCAATTTAAATCAATAATTGTCTCTTTTTATAATAATAATAAATACTTTACTTTGACACTTTGATATGCTATTCATTTTTTATATTATTATTTAATTAAAATGTTGAGAATCACAAAACTATCAATCACTTAGCTTTGATCAATTAAAATCGAGGCTTGTGTGTGGCTGATAATCATGGGATTATTAAGTTTTTAGCGTATTCACCGACTTTTCGAATGGCAACTATTATCGTAATGCAACAACATTGTTAATTATTGTCGCGACTGATGCTGAAATTGCCCAATGAATTAGAGAATAGAAATTGATCAGCCAATAGAATGCGCTAATTTCAGCATCAGCCGTTACATTAACTATTCTAGCTATGTCAATTATTAAAGTGCTATAATACCATGGTTTTTGCCATTGAAATAGTTATCGTTATGCTCTTATAAAGTTATTTATAAGATATTTGAATTTCAGCATTTTTTTCCATGTTCTGTTTCTTCTGGAAATCATCACAATAATTCAAAAATTCATTAAATATCCGATTTATGGCAGATTTTTATTTTAGAAATTTTAGAAATCAAGGAATAAATAATCTCTATTTGGTACGCAACATATTATATGTATATAATGTCATCCTAAAGTCAAAACTTTACGGTTGATAGAATGTAATAATTGCAAGCAAAATTTAAAAAAGTCGAATCCAAAAAAATTCTATTAATAATAATTAGAAGATGAGGTAAATAAATAATACCAAAAAAAATCTACACTTTTTTGGAATAATCATCTTGACATAAATTGTATTCCTTCATTTCTTTACGCCATACATTCTGTCGATGTCATCTTTAAATTTCTCAGTAAGTTCTTTACGTTTGAGTTTCTGTGCAGCCGTTAATAGTCCCTATTTTAATTGAAATAAAAGGTGAATAATAATTCACTAAAAAACAGCAAAAAAAATAATTATCTTACATTTTGAGCAGTCCACTCTTCATGAGTAAGATCAACTGCAGAAATCATCTCAACAGGTTTAAGTCCTGCCTTTTTAGCTTGCGCAAGACAAGACTGAAGCACAGCAGCAACAACATCCTTATGCTTGCACAATTGCTCAAAATTTAAATTACTACCAAGACCTTTTTCCTTTGCGAGTTCCTTGATTCTTGGCTCGGCTGGAAACACCAACGCAACCGGTTTACTTTGATATGCATCGGCATAAACCATAATATTCGAGACATACAAACACGACTTGTACACCGATTCCAATTTCTCCAAGGCAATATATTCACCATGCGAGAGTTTCACGAGATTTTTCTTGCGATCGATAATAGCTAGAGTCCCATTCGGACGCCATTCACCAATGTCGCCAGTTTGAAGCCATTTATCGTCGGTGAACGTTTCTTTGGTAACTTTTTCATTTTTGTGGTAGCCGGAGGTGATACATGGACCTCGAGTCCATATTTCTCCTTGGGGTGTGGTGTTTGACGATAAGTAACCGGCCTCCGGTACATCAATTAGTTTTACTTCGACACATGGTACCGGAGCACCAACTGTTCCGTATGAAAATTGCTCGGGGGTAAGAATAGCACACATACTATATATTAAATGTTTAAAATATTGTAATTAATTCAGCGAAGTTAATTATTCAATATTTTTTACTTACCCGCAAGATTCTGTCATGCCATAACCTTGCAAAATGGGGCACAAAACAATCGACAAAAATTCTTGTGTTTCCTTTGAAAGCGGAGCACCACCAGACAAAGCGTATCGAAGTCTACCACCAGTTTGTTGTTTAATTTTATTAAATACAGCAATATCAAAAGGTCGAGTCGGCAATCCTTTGTTAATACACCAAATCTTAGCCTTAAAAGCAGCATTGAAAACTTTTTGGACTGTAGGACTGCTAGCTTGTACTTTTGACAAAACGCCTTTTCTAATTGTTTCCCAAACAGCTGGGACACCAGTCATCAATGACGGTTTAAATTCACGAATATCTCCGAGACAATTCCGAACAGATGTGTCAGTCAATGTGCGTATTGATCCATATCCTAATGTCACACCCCAAAAGATACAACTCTGTTCGACTACAAATTCGAGCACGTGAGCTAGTGGAAGATAAGCAAGGAGAGTATCGTCTGGTTGAACTATTTGCTGGAACAATTTATTAATACCGGCAACTAAAAATATTGATACGGATTAATTAATTGTTATAAAATTATAAAAATAATAATTAACAGAATTACAGGAAAAAATCTTATATTTACTTGTAGCGATGAGATTAGAATGTTTTAGAAGAACACCTTTCGGATTACCAGTACTGCCAGAAGTGTACATAATCAGACATAAATCCTCAGGTTGTGGTGGATTTGGCTCAATATAATTATCTTTTCCCAGTTGTTTCAATTCATCCAATGTATAGATATTGATATTTGGATGGGCAGCTTTGAATTCCTCCAAGATTTTTTCCGTTGGTTCGCCATCGTAAATCACATATTCAAGAGTTTGACAACTACCAGCGACATTTTTTACAGATGTGAGAAGATCACTGTTGGTGAAAATTGCACGGACTTCTGATTCGTTCATTGAATGGAGAAGGCCACTTTCACCGAGAGTATCATATGCTGTTACAATAGTCAACCCTTGTGTAAATGCTCCTATAAGTATGTAAGGATAGGTGATTAAAATTTTTTTTTGTTTTGAGAATTAAAGGATTGAAATTATTTGAGATTGAAATACTTGCCATGAGTTACAAGCATCCAATTTGCGCTAAATTATTATTATTATTATTATTATTATTATTATTATTATTATTATTATTATTATTATTATTATTATTATTATTATTATTACGTTAAAATCATAATTAAGACAAAAAAAATCAATGAATTCCAAAGAATTACCTCGTAGCAGCATATACAGTAATTTTCGAATCTTTTTTCAATCCAAGTTTAATAAACCCAGCTCCAATATTCTTCGTTATATCACTAACCTCTTCGTAGTTATACCAATGATATTCAGACAATTGAAAATACTTCCACTTTTTAGTTTCTTTAGTTTCAACACCGTTTACCGTTTTGGTAACTTCTTTTTCCTCCTCGATAATGTTTAGTATTTTTCGGTACCCCATTGCCGACTTTTTGGTCCCCCATGTTTTCACGCTATGTTGAAGCATGTCATAGAGTGTTTTCACCTCGGGTGCGGGAGAGGTTATGAGTTCACCCGGGCTTAGGATAGAACGGTGAACGCGTCCTTGGCCTGGTGCTGCGTCGCCAACTTCAACACTATACATTTTTTGCATGCTGAAATATTATTAAATTAAATGAAATGTTTCGTTTAATAACAATGTTTCCAGGCGACAAAAAGTTTGATAGCCTTTATGTGTTATTTTTCTGTTACACAGTTTGACAGAAAACCAAATAACTGATCTTACAAAAACCGCCCAAAGAAGGGAATGATTCGTAACAATGAGAAAATCCATCCAATAAATCTATCCATAATCGAAATTAATTGCGATGGTAAGAGAATGAAAAAAGTGAGAAATGAGCGAGTGAAAAGTTGGAAGAAACGTGAAATTTCAATCTTTATCACATGTCGATCATATGTTGATTATACACGTAACTATAAATACAACATTGAATTTTCTGAAATACAAAATACCAAAAACTCCACTATCAAGTGACACATGATGTGGCTGTCCGATCATATGCTGTAAATATTCTAATTTTGAACTTTCTGAAATACAACATTGAATTTTCTGAAATACAAAAATACAAAAAAAAACTGGGGGGAGGTTAAAGCGGAGTAGTTTCGCTTTCAAAGACTAAAATCTCACGCTGAGCATTTTTACTTAGTTGAAAGCTAGTTGTTATAGTTATTCGAGTTATTGATTGGTCAAATTTGTATGTTACACCTGATCTTTGCAATTGGACTATTTACACGTGACTACCCCGCTTTAACACATCCCCAGAAACGGGTATACCCATTTGTGCATGTAATACAAACCCAAAAATGGCATTTACTAATTTTCACCCGAAGTTTCTATTGGTCAGAGGAGATCCCAATCTCCGATTGGACGAAATTGGTGGTG